AGAAAGATGAGGCTTTCTACTCCCGTAAAGATTTACACCCTTGGAAACCCTGTACAGGGTCGCTATGGGTCGGCTATGGGTCGGAACCAACTCGACGGCACTTCACAACAACAACATATATATATATAAAGAGAGAGAGAGAGAATGAATGTGTGTGTCCTGGTGTGATAATGTGGATTAATGCACCAGACTGCAAAGCAGTTTGAACTGCAAGGTTGGTGGTTCAAGCTCACCAGCTGCTCCTCGGAAACCCTATACAGGGTCGCTATGGGTCGGAACCAACTCGACGGCACTTCACAACAACTATATATATATATATACACAGAGAGAGAGAGAATGAATGTGTGTGTCCTGGTGTGATAATGTGGATTAATGCACCAGACTGCAAAGCAGTTTGAACTGCAAGGTTGTTGGTTCAAGCTCACCAGCTGCTCCTCGGAAACCCTATACAGGGTCGCTATGGGTCAGGATCAACTCAACAGCACTTAACAACAACAACAAATATATATATATATATATGCACACTCAAAGAGCGCTTTGAAACTAGGCTCTAGGCTCTGAAACCTAGGTTAGAGCATAATCAGTTATACCCATTCTACAAAGGGTCTGCAGGCTTGGAGAAAACACTCACTTAAACCGTCATGGAGCTCCTGGGTGGTTCGGATAGTTAACGTGCTTGGCTGCTGGCCAAATGGTTGGAGGTGAAAAAGCACCTAGGAGGAAGAGTTGACTGATCTTCATATGAAAAAATCTGTCACTGAAAATGTTATGGAGCACAGTTCTTCTCTAATACAAATGAGGGCAGCGTTGTGCTGGCACTTGGCTCAATAGCAGATATGTTTTTAACTGACATACGTCCACTGACTAATGGTAGTAGAAAACCACCGAACGCAAAAATGGGAAGAAAGAAGAGATGTAAAAGAACAAGCTTTAGCCAAAAGTTAACGCTAAGAGAAACCAATCATGAACAAAATTATAAATGTCTTCATTTGAACATTTAAACTCTTTTGCTCTAATTCTGAGATCTTATACTAAAGAAGCAGTTTCTTTTCTTCTTGACAGTGAATTATGCCTCAGGTACAAAATAGTTCTCAAATACAATAGGGCCCAATCCAAGCGCCCAGCATCTCTGAGTTTTCAACTGCTGCTCTGTTGTTATTTCACTGCTCTGACTGTAGGGTTTCTCTGCTTGCAGTCTGACTACCTTTCATCCCCTTTCTTGCAAATCAGACTTATGATTGCTGCCATCATTAACCTTTGGAGCGAGCATCTCTGCATGCCTATTCAAGTACCACTTCACAATAAATTGCCCAGCTCTGAAGTTAGCATGCAGTTCTGTGTCTTTTTTTCTTTGCCTAGTGGTTCGCTCTTGTGTTCTTTCTTTTTGACCCTTTCCCTCTTTTTTGACCTATTTTCTTTACATTTCCTGTACTTCTGATACCTTCTCTTTATCTTTATTCCCTCTCCTCCTTCTCTCCTTGTTTTATCATCTCCCTCCCATCAGTTCTTGTCTTCTCTGTTTTTCTGCTTTCCCTATATTTTCCCTTTTCTGTCTTTATTGCTCTCTCTTTCTTTCT